CCTTCTTCAGAAATGGGTCTAGGCCCAAAACGTCAGCTTTCCTGCTCCTCTGATGCTGCTTGGCCTGCTGTGTTCATCCAGCTCTACACCATTGGTTATTCTCCAGTCTATTCTTCCTGTGGTTGGTTATTCTCGCAGGTTATTCTTCCCTTTGAGTAAAGGGGATACAAAGATTTCATACAAAGCCCCAGCAATTTCCTCACCTGCCTCCCTCAGCATTCTGAGATAGATTCCATCATGTGCTGGAGAATTGTCTACCTCAAAGCTTTTCAAAACACCCAACACCTCCTCCGTTTTTATATTGACATCCCCTAGGATATCAACACACCCCTCCTGAGACTCATCATCCACTATGTCCTTCTCCTTTATGAACACCAATGCAGAGTATTCATTAAGGACCTCACCCACTTCCTCCAGCTACACTCATAAATTGCTTCCTTTGTCCTTGAGTAGACCAACCCTTTCCCTAGCTACTCTCTTTCTCCTTGTTTATACATGTATACAGTACCTTGAGATTTTCCTTAATCCTGTTTGCCAAAAAAATTTCATGGCCCTTTTAGCTCTCTTAATTCCTTGTTTGAGTTCTTTCCTGCTATCTTTGTATTCTTTGATGTCTCTGTCTGTCTTCAGTTTCCTAAACCTTACATCTATCTCCTTTCACATTCTTGACTAAACTTTCAATTTCTCTTGTCATACAAGGTTTCTGAATCTTGCCATCCTCATCCTTCATTTTCACAGGAATGTGCTTCTCCTGAACTCTAATTAACTGGTATTTAAAAGATTCTCACATGCTGGATTTAGATTTACCCTCAAAAAGCTGCCTCCCAATCTATATTCCCCAGTTCTGGCCTAATATTGTGGTAGTTATCCTTCCCCAATTTAATACTTTCACCCGAGGACTACTCTTATCCCTATCCATAAGTAGCTTAAAAACTTACGGAATAATGGTCATTACTACCAAAATGCTCCCCCACTGAAAATTTGATCACCAGGCCAGGCTCATTCCCCAACACCAGATCTAGCCCCTCCCCTAGTTGGAATATGTATATATCATTACAAAAACTGTCCTGGATGCAGCTAACAAATTCCAATCCATGTGAGCACTGAGCACTAAACAAGTCTCAGTCAATATATGGGATGTTAAAAGCACCCACCAAACAACACTGTTGCTTTTACATTTTCCATAATCTGTCCTTATCATCCACTGGCTATTGGGAGGCTTTTAGTTCAAGGTAATTGCATCCTTCTTATTTTTGAGCTCTACCCATATGGATGAGCCCTCCAAGCTGTCCTCCTTCGCTACAGACTTAGAAGTGAAATGATTTTTGGAGTCATAATTCAGTCCTCTCAAGGTTCTGGCTTGACACATTATGGGGTGCTGAAGCCTACGGAATGTTAAATGTTAACAATGCTGTGTAAAAGATCCAAAATGGTTTCATCATTTGAACTTGGTGCACAGACTGTACATTAAAGCTCAGTCCATTTGTAAAATGGAAGAGGACGCAAACAATGTGATTTTTTGCACCTATTTAATACTGCATGTCTTTATATGCAAATACAACAGGAGCTGCAATGCAGGAATCTTCCCATCAATTGAATTTCAGCTCTTGAAGGTACATTACTGAGGTTGATATAATGTTGCACTTTGTTAGGCATGGCATTTCACCTTTGAGTTCAACTCCTTCCTGAATTGATAAATCACCAGCTATATGTGAAGAAGGATAGAGAACATGGGGAAATAAAAAGCGACATGTTGAAAAATGTCCATATTACAGAGGAGGAGGTGCTGAATGTCTTAAAACGCATAAAGGTGGATAAATCCTGCAGACCCGATTAGGTGTACTCTAGAACTCTGTGGAAAGTGAGGGAAGAGATTGCTGGGCCCCTTGCTGAGATATTTATATCATCAATAGCCACAGGTGAGGTGCCAGAAGACTGGAGGTTGGCTAACACTGTGCCACTATTTAAGAAAGGTGGTAAGGAAAAGCCAGGGAACAAAAGACCGGTGAACCTGACATCAGTGGTGAGCAAGTTGTTGGATGGAATCCTGAGAAACAGGATTTACTTATATTTGGAAAGGCAATGACTGATTAGGGATAGTCAACATGGCTTTGTGTATGGGTAATCGTATCTTACTAACTTGATTGAATTTTTTGAAGAGGTAACGAAAAGGATTGATGGGGTCAGAGCGGTGGACGTGACGTAAAGGACTTCAGTAAGGCGTTCGACAGGTTCCTCATGGTAGACTGGTTAACAAGGTTAGATCACACGGAATATCAGGAGAACTAGCCATTTGGAGACAGAACTGGCTCAAAGGTAGAAGACAGAAGGCGGTGGTGGAGGAGTGCTTTTCAGACTGGAGGCCTATGGCCAGCGCTGTGCCACAAGGATCGGTGTTGGGTCCGCTGCTTTTTTTCCTTTATATAAATGATTTGGATGTGAGCGTAGGAGGTATGGTTAGTAAGTTTCCAGATGACACTACAATTGGAGGTGTAGTGGACAGTGAAGAAGGTTACTTCAGAGTACAGCAGGATCTTAATCAGATGGGCCAATGGGCCAAGGAGTGGCAGATGGAGTTTAATTCAGATAAATATGAGATGCTGCATTTTGGAAAGGCAAATCAGGGCAGGACTTATACACTTAATGGTAAGGTCCTGGGGAGGGTTGCTGAGCAAAGAGACCTTGGAGTGCAGGTTCATAGTTGCTTGAAAATGGAGTTGCGAATAGATAGGATAGTGAAGATGGTGTTTGGTATGCTTGCGTTTATTGGTCAGTGCATTGAGTATAGGAGTTGGGAGGTCGTGTTGCAGCTGTACAGGACACTGGTTCGGCATCTTTTGGAGTATTGCGTGCAATTCTGGTCTTCGTCCTTTAGGAAGGATGTTGTGAAACTGGAAAGTGTTCAGAAAAGATTTACGAGGATGTTGCCAAGGTTGGAGTGTTTGATCTGTAGGGAGAGGCTGAATAGGCTGGGGCTATTTTCTCTGGAGCATTGGAGGCAGAGGAGTGACCTTATAGAGGTTTATAAAATCATGAGGGACATGGATAGGGTAAATAGGCAAGGTCTTTTCCCTGGAGTGGGGGATTCCAAAACTAGAGGACATAGATTTAAGGTGAGGGGGAAAGATATAGAAGTGAACTAAGGGCCAACCTTTTCACGTAGAGGGTAGTGCATGTATGGAATGAGCTGCCAGAGGAAGTGGTGGAGGCTGGTATGATTACAACATTTAAAACGCATCTCGATGGGTATATTAATAGGAAGGATTTAAAGGAATATTGGCCAATTGCTGGCAAATGGGACTAGATTTATATAGGATATCTGGTCGGCATGGACAAGTTGGACCAAAGGGTCTGTTTCCATTCTGTATATCTCTATGACTCTATGACAATGTGAATCTGCTTATCTATATTCTGTTTTAAGAAAACGTATAAATTTTTAAAAATTATTTCTCACCCAGCCTCTCAGAATAAGAGGTGGTACCAGCCTCATGCCAAGCACTCAGTACTTTAAACTCCCTGTCAAACTAACAGCATGAAAACCCTTTAATTGAGCAATTAATGGCTGTACATCACAATATCTTTCTGCATCAATCAAATCCCCATTCAGTCTCCAGATGCCCTACCATTGCCTTTCTACTGCTGCCATACTCTCAGACTCCCCTTCCACCACATCCACAGCCAACATTCCTTTGTTTGCACTACCAGAGTCAATCACTGCTAACTCCATCATGCCACAGCCAATTCAACCTTCCATATGCATCCAGCCCTTCCCTGTCAGTATTTTAATTCCAAGACCACTTACCAATACTTCCCCTACCCAGAATTTCAATTAGTTTTTCAAATATCTCTTCCTCACACCCTTTTCATGACTGCTTCTGCTGAATTGTATGCATCCTGTAATTCCTGAGGAAAATCCCTCTTGATCCTGCCAACTAACCGCTACTGCGACAAGCAAGCTTCACTTGCCTCCAGGTTAATTCCTGACCTGCTCATTGCTAAAATAAGGTTCCAAGCTCTGCTTCTGATTCTTCTGCTCTCTGAACCAAAATATCTCCCCAGATTCATGTGCCCCATTTCTGTTTCTTCCAACTAAACCCCAATAGCGTTGTCACTCTATCTTGCTTTTACCACTTTAGACATATTTCACAAACCTCCTGACTCTGTATAAATGATGATAAAAGAACTTTCAGACTATTTACTGAGCAGCCTCAAAAGATCCATTAAAGAAGAATTGATTGGGCAAGTTACTGCTTCGAACCAGTGGATGGAATGTCCATCGCACATGCTCCAAAATAAAGAATGTAAACATAGCCTCAGGGTCTTAAAATAGATTTAATTGAAACTGTCTCAATAGGTGTAACTATTTAATATTGGTTCCTGCTTGTTTCAAACAGAGTGCTACCTTCCTAGTTTGAGATCCACCTAGAGTCAGAAAACTGTTCCAGATACTTATTAACTTTTATGTGAAAAATGCTTCCTAATTTTGGTCATGAATGAACTAGTGTTAAATCATGAGAAGAAATAGTTTGTCTGTATCTAATCTGCTCTTTGAAGGTGTAATTCATTGGAAATTCTGCCCATGCATCCATCACACTCCTTGCATGGGCCAAAATGCACAACAGCAGTTTTAACAATTATGAATTAACCATTTATTTCTAAAACCCTTCTTGGAGGCACAACATCCAGTCACTGCATATTGTCACTGTAACACAATTGCAAAATTGGCTTCAAAATCTTTAGGATAAAAATATGTTGTATGACATTAACAAGTCTAGATACGAATATTTTTAAAATAATATTTGGAACATTTGTGCACTATTTTTATAATTTGCAGACTCGCTGAGCTAGAGTCCCTGTACCTTCAGAAGAACAAGTTGACCTATCTGCCCAAAGTCATGTGCAGAATGAATAAACTAAAGATACTAGTTGTCAGCGGCGATGACATAAAGAAATTACCAACTTCTCTGACAACTGACCCCAATTTAAAGTAAGTGCTGAATGCAATCTTTTTCTTTACCTTCTTAAAATTTATATTTAAATTCTCTGTTCAGTTTTCAATTTTGATTCAGTCACCATCTCATCTTCACTGCAAGAGCTGAATTGTCTTGTACTTGCATAGTGTTCATAATGCATTGTATGACTGACTCAAGGATTTGCTTATGTCAGGGGGAAGAGGTGGTACCGTTTTCAATAAAATGCTCCTAATGCTGAAGTTGAATATTATATTGCCCATCCGTGCCAACTCATGCCATCCTATGTGGGCCACACAACCCCATAGCCCCGATACCCTCAATGCCAACTTATGTCCCTCCACACACCACCATAGTTCCTTATAGCCTCTATGTTAATTTACTGCAAGCTCATGTGTACTGCCAACTCACCCAATATCTACCATGGGTTTACCTAAGAAACCTAAGAGTTGATATAAGGTAAATTTCCAAGTGCCTATTGAGGAATTTGCAATTTTAAAAACACTGGCATTGATAAAAAAAAGTCCATTAACTATATTTAACTTCCTTCAACTGCTTGATCCTTTTCAAAAATACGTATTTGTATTCATAGTCCACTTCAAAGACTTGAAGCTATCAAACAAATTGTGAACTGACAGAGATCCCACCATGATTATATGATGGGAAATCAGTCATGCAGGAAAATCTTTTAATGAAAGCACTCAGATTTACGTCAACTGATGTCAAGTGAAATAGCAGACATTGATTTTTTTAAGCTGCAGCTTTTCAAAATTTAAAAAGTAGGGGATTTAAATGACTTGAAGGTTTGAATGTTCCCTAGACAGCTTAACAGTTGCCTTAAAAGCTTGACAATTCCAATGAATTTATCCATTTTGCACACAATCATGTCCACTTTTAACACTTCCAAAGTCGAACTTACCACTATCCCTAAACGTGTCTGAGGACATATCCAAAGGAGCTTACCTACCAATGAACTCCAGTTGTCAAGGAGTGTCAGTTTTTGCACAACTTATGAGCAAAAATCAGATCTGGCAGTTGCCCTCATTTATCATGGATATGATAACTATAAACTTCCCCTTTTTCACTCTCAACAGTGGCTATAAGAGCAGATCAGAGGATAGGAATACTGCAGTTAGTAACTCACCTCCTGACTCCCCAAAACCTGTCCATCCAAGAAGGCACAAGCCAGGAGTGTGATAGAATACTCTCCACTTGCCTGGATGAATGCCACTCCAACTTCTGTCAAGGAGCTTGACACCATGTGGGACAAAGTAGCCCACTTGGTAGACAAACAGGAGGTTGGAAGAATAGAGCAAGCCAGGCAGCATCTGGAGGAAAGGAGAAGTCAATGTTTCAGGTAGTACCTTCTTCAGGACTCCCTTAAACTATCCTGAAGAAGGGTAGTACCCGAAATGTTGACTTCTCCTTTCCTCCAGATGCCACCTGGATTGCTGTGTTCTTCCAGCCTCCTGTTTGTCTAAAGTAGCCCACTTGATTGGCACCACATCCACAAACATCCACTCCTTCCACTACCCATGCACAGTAGCAACAATGTGTTGAATCTACAAGTTGCACTGCAGACAATTAGACAACACCTTCCAAGCCCATGACCACTTACATATAGAAGGACAAGGGCAGCAGGTACATGGTAACATCACCACCTGCAAATTCCCATCCAAGCTACTCACCATCCTGACATGGAGATATATTGCAGTTCATCACTTTCACTGTCACTGGGTCAACATCTTCGCATTTTCTCCCTAACGATGTTGTGGGTCTGCCTACAGCATGTGGACAATGTCACCTTTTCAAGGGCAACTAGGGATAGGCAGTAAATGCTGGCTAGCCAGCAGTACCCATTTCCCACAGGTGAATAAAAACAGCCAAACTATTAAATGGAGGCCCCCTCTATCAATTGCATTGGTAAAAGTGGTGCTTAAAAATCCCATGGTACCAGTTAAAGGAAAGCAGGCGGTCAGACAGAGGTCTCAGTTATATTTTCTAAAAACTCAACACTATGCAAAAAAGTGCTCAATGTCCCAAATAAACGGCCAATGTAATATAAAAACAATAGATTAATTTTCTTTTTCCTACTAACAGATATGTTGATCTGAGAGAAAATCCACTTGAAGACTGGGTGCACAGTGAAATCTTTGAAAATGATGAAGATCAAGAAGAATTTGAAAAAGACTTGATGCAAATGTATTTTAAGGATTTGGAAGAGAGAGGTAACTACTGAAGTAACTTTATAATCCACCTTTACAACTGCAAAGGGACGTAATGATATAAAGAGGAAGGGCTGGCTTTCCCTTCAGAGCTAGAAATAGAGGTTGAAACTCTTTCTGGGTTCCAAACCTATCCCCGGAAGGAAACAGTCATTCACCATTGAACTTCCTTGGGGCAACCATGAAATAGTTAGGGGATATGTTCACTTGAATCTGAAGGTGTAGTGGAAGGTAAGTAAGGGAGAGAGGGAAATTTAATATGGAGATGCCACTTCTCCATCTTTTTAAAATCAGAAGCCAGTCCAGCATTGTGGGGTAGAAGATGGGAATCCTCTACAAAGTAGCATATGGCTGCTGTTGGACTTTAGGCCTGCCTAGAGCACTTGTTCCCTGGCCAACCACTAGGTGGCTATCTGCAGACTCCTAAGCTGGCTGGCTGGCTGCTGCCTGCAGGACGCTGGCGACTAATTGGAAAATCTCAGTTAACTCCTTTAATTGGTCTTAATCAGACTCATAATGACTACAGGCAGGTCGACAACTTTGAGAGACCAGCTACACAACAATAGCCCAGCGATGAAACAGAACTGGAGAAATGGCACATTAGCCAATAGCACTATTTTTTTCGCCGATCTGCCTCAGAGCCTGTTTCACAAAGGCTGAAGATTCAGTTCAAATTTTTGCTGGAGCAGCTCTGTTCATTTGTATGCAAATTTGAGACTGTTTTAAATTGATAAACTAGGTAAAGACTAACTTTGGAGAAGAGGTTTATTATCAGCAGAGCTAAAAAGAGTTGAAGATGAGGAGAACATGAAAATGTAGTTACAGTTTTGTTGAAAGTCTTCAACTTCTGGGAGGGAGAAATCAAGAGAAGAACTAAATCCTATAATTTCACATTCCTGGGAATTTTCCTTTTTATATATTCATGGTATGTTGACATTTCTGGCTAAGCCAACATTTGTGGTACTTCCAGAACTGCCTATGAGAAGGTGGTAATGAGCTGTCTTCTCGAATTGTTGCAGTCCTTGGAAAGTAGGTATACCAATAATACTGTTAGGAAGGGAGTTTCAGATTTTGACCCAGTCACATATTAAAGGAATTACTGTTCAGTCAGGATAGTATGTGGTTTGGAGAGGAACTTGGAGGTGGTGGTGTTCCCATGCATTTGCCTATTCTTCTAGGTGGTAGAAGGCACAGGGAAAACAAAAACAGAAATTGCTGGTAAAAACTCAGCAGGTCTAGCAACATTCGTGGAGAGTAAGCAGAGTTAATGTTTCGGATACAGTGACCCTTCTTCAGAACTAATTGTAGCTAGGAGAAAGTTGGTGCACATGCTGAAGATGGGGTGGGGGGAAGAGGGTGAATAAAAGAAAGGTGGGGAAGGATCGAGAGAGAGAGAGAAAGAACAATAGATGGACAGACAAAGGAATGGGTAAAGGTCAGTCTAAGAGAATCAATAGCTGACAATGGGTTGGTTGTAGTAGCAGCCCGTGTAGTGATAAGGCTTGGTGCCCTTGCAAGGATAGCCTTCTTGACTCAATATCGAGTTCAGCAATTTTAGGGCCTGAGCACCTTCTCCAGTGTCCTTACCCCAACCCCCAAAAACAAGACCTCTGGGCTCCTCACCCCATCTTCAGCATATATACCAACCCTTTCCTAGCTACAGTCAGTTCTGAAGAAGTGTCACTGGACTTGAAATGTTAACTCTTAGTTCTCTCCACACGTGCTGCCAGACCTGTTGAGTTTTCTCTAGCCATTTCTATTTTTGTTTCTGATTTCTACCATCCACAGTTCTTTGTTTTATCTTGTTCAGACAGATCTGGAAAGTTCTGTCAAGGGAATCCTGATGAGTTGCTGTAGTGCATCTTGTAGATGGTTACATACTGCAGCCACTGTGCATTGGTGATGAAGAGAACAGATGTTGAACGTGGTAGATAGAGTGCCAATCAAGTTGGCTGCTTCATCCTGGATGGTGTCAAGCTTTTTGTGTTGTTTGAGTTGCATTCATCCAGGCCAGTATTCCTTCTCACTCCTGATTGGTGCCTTGTAGATGGGTGGACAGGCATTTTGCCAGACCCAAGGTGTGTTACTCACCAACAAATTCCTGAATAAATTATTCTTTAAGTTGTGACCCTTTGGAGAATAAAATTTGGGTGTGTTCCATAAAGATCAAGGTGATCTATTCCACCAGCTTATTGGTGCAAAGGTTAAAATTATTCATAACCAGCTCACACTGGCATGGTGGCTCAGTGGTTAGCACTGCTGCCTCACAGCACATACCCTTGGATGACTGCCTGTGTGGAGTTTGGACGTTCCGCATCTGTGTGGGTTTCTTTTGGGGGCTGTGGTTTCCTCCCACAGTCCAAAGATGTGCACGTTAGGTGGATTGGCCATGCTAAATTGCTCATAGTTTCCAGGGATGTTCACACTAGGTGGATTAGCTATGGGAAATATAGGGATCAGGTAGCGGGTGGGTCTTGGTGGGATGCTCTTCAGAGGGTTGGTGTGGACTCGATGGACTGAATGGCCTGCTTCCACACTGTAGGGATTCTATGATTATTTATCAATAAATAAAACAATCTTTCTTTTGCTTTGCTTCAGAAACAGTTCCTGCTTATACTACGAGGGTATCTCTAAGTCTGCAGCTGTAACATGCACTATGAAAATTCATCAAAATGTGAACTGAATCTAAAGAGAACAAAACTGTGTGACGCTTTGTGAAGAATCAATCCACTCTACTAAGAAAATGACATAAGAAAGCTAGCAATTGGATATTAGAACAAATCTCAGTCTGATTAAGGATATAGAGGATAGTTAGAGATTCATGTTGCTATAAGTAGGTTATCTTTTATTTCTGGCACAGTTCAAGGGCTGACTAGAAGGTGGTTTGTTGATTGAAGTAAATGCTCAGATGGTGACATGACCAAATAAAAAAGATGAGCAATAATATTACAATCTGGATATTTCTAACATGAATGTACTATAGTTATTTCAGTTATAAAGGAAAGTTTATGAAAAACTATGCATACTTTCTGTGTCTGTCTTGGCCTGATTTAATTCACAAAGTTGCAGTAGAATCTAGTTATAGTTAGAAAGCTATTTTAAGAGATCACCTGAAGCCGTTCATACATAGTATTTTCTTAATTTCATTTATTGTAAAATGAGACCACTTAGATTCACTTTGGTCCAGCATTCACATGCTTATCCTCTAGATATGAGACATTTGTGAATTAAAAATACAATGGTATAATTCAGGATACACTTAAAAGTTCCAAAAAATAATTCACTGTTTGAAATAACTTTTCATCATCCATTAATTCCCTCAGTTGAAGGAAGGTCCACTAGCACACTGTTCCATTATTTCCTTTCTCTGTCATGGTCTACAAAGAAAAACATAAACAACTTTATTCATTCAGTGGGTGTATTTCACAACAGTCCCAAAGAATGTGGCAGTTTTTTTTCATCTTCTAGTGGACAATAATTGTACTTTCAAGACTTGACTATTTCACAGCAAAATGAGTCTGACTGATCTTGTGCCAACTGTCAGAAACATTGCTAAACACAGGAGAAGATTGGGTTGGTAGGTCGCTGTGAATACTGACTAGTCCTTTCTGTATTTTCCTTGAATCTGTCAATGAATGTACTTTAAACGAGCAGAAAAAGTGGAAATTGGATAGCAGGGCCCTTTTTGCTATTCCCGCATAGTGAAAACCATTTTAATGTTATCAACTGAATTTCTGTTTACCATCATGACAAAAAATATATCCATAATGTTTGTGTCATGAATAATGTCACAGATTTAAATTTATAGTAGGTGTTTTGTAAGAATGTTTAAAAATTCTCATCTTACTTTCCAATTCAGAAATGTTGAAAGTAAATGATCACTTTTAGCATCATATCATACAAGTAAGCTGAACCAAATCAATTTTTTTTAATATGATTAATTAATTCACACCAAAGTAAGTTATTCCAGACTAAACAGATAATTTCAATAAAATAAATGGAACTCCTTTTTGGTTATGGTATAATCTATGCACTATGTGAGGCAATAATGTAAAGATAGTTAAATGTAAATATGTCACACTTGAGCATACAAACCAAGAGGTTTCTTGTTCAAATTCTGACCCTTGCTGGGTGCCAGTCTCAGCCAGGAAAGTAACAATGGTTGTTCTAATTGGCTTCAGTCTTCCAGAAATATTGCTGGAAGTTTCCTTGAAATGACTTGCTGGAAGTGCATGGGCATGAATGTCAGATGCTGCCTGGGTTAAGTTTGGTTGTGGTAGCCATACGATACTCATCATCCATGCTTGCACAGAAAGAATAGCCCTTGAATGAGGATTCAAAGGTTGCTGCTGAATTTGAAACTCTATCTCACTGCCTTCGCTGGATGTAGCCCAAGAGAAGAAAATAGAAGGAAGAACTGAATTTCAAAAGATATCGAATGAAGAAAAATACTGGGTATGCTTGAATATCTTTTAACATCTTGTAATATTAGTTTTGTTGTATTGCATTTAACATATAGCAATTTGCTTTTATAATTATATTTTAAGTATTCTCAAATTTATTTTTGCACTTTTTCAGAGTGGAACATAAAATATTGTTTGTAGAAAATGTTGTAGAATGTATGGAAATGACTTAGAAGCATACTGACTCTGCTTAACATGAATACCTAATGGTGAAAATAACTATTCATATTGAAAAATATCGTTTGTTATTCTGATGTTTGTAGAATTCAGTTAAATACATGTGAAAAATGTCTAACTTTTCCCTATAGTTTGTCAGTCATTTTGTGATAAATGTTATGCATTAGACTCAACAAAGAAAGTCTGAATTCATTTTAAAATTGGGCATATTAGATCTACCCTGTTTCTCAGTGCAATTTTGTTTTACATGAACCATAAATGAGAGGTGTAAAAAACCCCTTCCCTGGGTTGAACGCTCTGGTGTAGATATCATTGGAACACAACTGTTTGGATTCAGTTACACTTCACGTTTTACACCTTCATTATACTTCTAAGCAAAAATACAACTCACACTGACACTGGTTTTGAGAAATACCACGAACCAAGGTCTGTGTTAGGTGGGTAATCCATCAGTAAATCTTCTGGCATGATTTTGGAGCAACTGACAAAACTCCTCTATCCTGGCTGTGGTAGTGACTCATTTACAAAGTTTTTTTCTTTATACCCCTTCTCTTACTATGACTGGTTAATCTAATTAACTGATTAAACTAGTTTGGGGAGTGGGAAGGCTTTGGAAGAGGGAAAACAATGGCTTACAAAGCAAGACGACATGGCAGTATTACAGGATAGTTATCAGGATAATGATACCCAGAGTGGGACAGGAAAGGCAAAGATAACAAACATAAAAAAAAACAGTTTGGTAAAAAGACAAAATTAATGGCTCTTTACTTGAATGTGTATAGTATTCAGAACAAACTAAATGAATTAACACCACATACATATGTTAATAGATATTAACTTAGAGCCATTATGGAGACATGGTCACATGAAGATCAAAGCTGGAAACTAAATTCAGGGATATGTGGCTCTTTGAGAGGCAGTAAAGCAAGGGTGTGGATTAGCTATGTTGGAATGGGATGAAATAAAATATGATAGCAAGAAATGCTCTTGTATTATTAGAATTTTTAGAGGAGGTAATGAGCAAGTTAGTCAAAAGAGAGCCAGTGGACATGATCTACTTGGATTTTCAAAAGACCTCTGGCAAAGTGACACACAGGCGGCTGCTAAATAAGATAACAGCCCATGGTGCTAGGGGCAAGGTACTAGAGGATTGGTTGACAGGCAGAAGGCAGAGAGTGGGATAAAGAGGTCCTTTTCGGGATGGCAGCCTGTGACCAATGGGATTCTGCATGGGTCAGTTTTGGGACCACAATGATTCACATTATACATTAACAATCTAGATGGAGGCATTGAGGGGATTGTTACCAAGTTTGCAGATGACACAAAGATAGGTGGACGGACAAGTAGTGTTGAGGAAGTGGGGAGGCTGCAGAAGGACATGGACAGGCTAGGATTGTGGGCAAACAGTGGCAGGTGGAATTTAATGTGGGAAAGTGTGAGGTCAAGCATGTTGATAGAAAAAATAGAGGTGTAGACTATTTTCTAAATAGGAAAGGCTTCAGAGCTCTGAAGCCCAAAGGGACTTGGGAGTGCTAGTTCAAGATTCTCTTAAGGTTAATAGGTAGGTTCAGTTGGCAGTTAGGAAGGCAAATGCAATGTTAATATTTATTTTAAGAGGGCTAGAATACAAGAGATGTAATGCTGAAGCTGATCTGGTCAGACCATATTTGGAATATTATAAGCAGTTTGGAACTCGAGTCTAAGGAAGGATGTGCTGTCCTTGGGGGTCTAGAGGAGGTTTACAAGAATGATCCTGACTGCTTGTCATATGAAGAGCAGTTGAGGACTATGGTTCTGTACTCAATTGAATTTAAAGGATGGGATTGGGATCTGATTGAAACTTATAGAATATTAAGAGGCCTGAATAGAGTGGACATGGAGAAGATAGTTCCACTTGTCGGACAGACTAAGACCCAAGGCTACAGCTTCAGAGTGAAGGGACGATTCTTTAGAACTGAAATGAGGGGGAATTTCTTCAGCCAGAGGGTGGTTAATCTGTGGAACTCATTGCCACAGAGGACTGTGCAGGCCAAGTCATAGAGCATATTTAAGACAGAGATAGTTTCTTGATTACTAAGGGGATCAAAGGTTGTGAGGAGAAAACAGGAGAACATGATTTGGAAACATATCAGCCATGATCAAATAGTACAGCAGGCTTGATGGGCCGAATGGCCAAATTCTGCTCCTATGTCTTATGGTCTTATTAAACCTAATGGGGCTAAAACCTAAAGACCTGGACCTGATGGGATGCATCGTAGGATATTAAAGGAAGTAACTACAAATATTGCGGATGCACTGCTAGTAATCTTCCAAGAACCTTTATATTTTGGAAAATTCCCAGAGTATTGGAAAACAATGTAACACTTTTATTTAAGGAGACGAAAAACAGATAATGTGGCCCATTTTGCTTAAGTCTGTCATTGGGAAAATGTTAGAGTCTATTACAAAGGATGTAATAAAAGAGCATTTATAAAAGCATTATATGATCAATTAGAATCAGCATAGCTTCATAGAATGGAAATAATACCCAACAAATTTACACTAATTCTTTGAAGAGGTAATAATCAGTATGGATAAAAGGAAAGCAGTGGATCTAATATATTTGAACTTTTCAGAAGGTGTTTGATAAGGTACGACATAAGGCTACTAATAAGAGCCCATGGTGTTGGTGGTAGAATATACCATAGATTGAGGATTGGCTCACTCATAGAAGGCAGAGAGTTGGGATCCGTGTGGCATTTTCAGAATGACAACCAGTGGAGCGCAACAAGGATTAATGCTGGGGGCGGGGGGGGGGGGGGGGGGGGGGGGGGGATGCGTGGCGGGGATTGGGAGCACATGACTTGGATGAGGACAGTGAATGTATTATACAAGTTTGTGGGTGACACAAAAATAGGTGAGAAGGCAAGTGGTGAGGATGATACGAAGAATCTGCAGAGGGATATAGAGAGGTTAAGTAAGAAGGCAAAAGCTTTGGCAAATGGAATATAATGTGGAGAAAATATGAGGTCATGCATTTTGACAGAAAGAATAGAGCTGGATATGGGCTAAATGGAGAAAAACTGCAGAAAGTTATAAAACAGAGGGATTTGTGAGTCATCA